GATTGGCTAGAAGTGACAAGAAAAGCTGGCAACCTCTGTGTACCTGCAGAACCCAAATTGGCATTTATCATCAGAATCAGAGTTCTCAGTGGTATGAGCTCAAGTGTCCAAAAGGTGTTGCAGCTTCTTTGCCTTGTCAGATCTTCATTGGAACCTTCGTTAAGTTCAACAATGCTTCAGTTAACATGCTGCAGATTGTAGAACCATATATTGCATGAGAGTCTCCGAACCTGAATTCAGTAAATGAACTAGTCTCCAAGTGTGGTTACCGCAAAATCAATATGAAGTGAATTGTCTTGACAGATAACATTTTGATGGCTTGATCTCTTGGTAAATATGACATCATCTGCACAGAGGATCTGATTCATGCTGTTAGAAAACACTTCAAAGAAACAAATAACTTCCTCAGACTCTTCAAATTATCCTTTCCACGAGGAGGAATAAAGGAAAAGACCTCCAGTTTTGTAAAAGGTGGAGATGCTGGCAACAGGGACAGCCAGATCAAGATGCTACTTAGAAGAATGAAGTAAGGTGTCTGCCATGATTATTTTTGTAATCTGGTCAGTTAATAAACAGTGACTGCTTTCAAGTGGAAAAAAATCAGTAAAATAAAATAAAATATTAGCTAAATTAAGAAGCAAACTTTCATAATAAATTTTTAACTGTAATTTACAGGTGTTAAAACAAACTTCACTAGACTTCTTCTTTTTTTTTTGGAGACAGAGTCTTGCTGTGTTGCCCAGGCTGGAGTGCAGTGGTGCGATCTGGGTTCACTGCAAACTCCGCCTCCTGAGTTCAAGCGATTCTTCTGCCTCAGCCTCCAGAGTAGCTGGGACTACAAGCATGTGCCACCACGCCCAGCTGATTTTTGTATTTTTAGTAGAGACAGGGTTTCACCATATTGGCCAGGCTGGTCTCAAACTCCTGACCTCATGATCTGCCCGCCTTGGCCTCCCAAAATGCTGGGATTACAGGCGTCAAGAAAAGACACACCTCTACTAACACTCAGCAGCAGCAATAGTAAAACAGATGATGACTATGGAAATGATTCCAAAGAAATTAAACTACTACAAAGAGTTTGTACTAGTTTTACTCAGAAGTATAATTCCTCACATATTGAGTTCAGTTTTGTAGCCACAACTGATACTAATATTTGAAAACTATAGTATGTTATTTGTACAGATATGCTAGTTAATAAAGCTCATAAGACCATCAACCTTATGTAGCATTTACATAGAAAACAAAAGAAGTAAATTCAAAACCTAAAGAATACCTTGAAAGAATGTTGACTTTTAAAAACTCATAAGAACAGATGTCAATATTTCATATATAAACATTAGTAATGTATGAGCATCTTATAAAGTAGCACTTTGGGACGCTACAATTTTAAAAAGACTTTAGCACAAGACTGTATCAGAGATCTTTGAAATTATGGGTGAATATGTGGTAAAGAAAGTGACAAATATCATTTTTCATAGCTGGGTGAATTCAATAACTAGCTAATGACATGGCAGATTAACTCACAGGTAAATACAGCTAAGAAAGTAATTTTCATTGCAAGTTACTGAATGTTCACATACTGCTAACATGACAATTAATTTAGTATCTATGCAATTCGAACACAGTGGAAGATTTTTTTGGTTTCACTGATGACAAGCACAACTAGTTCTAAATGTATACAACTATAAAGGATTACATTGTCAAGGAATGCGGTTTAAGACTGCTGTGGGAAGGTGATCTAATGTGCAGCTTCCTTGACAGAAAACATACTAAGTTTGAAGAACAATGTAAATCCATGCACTGCTTTTGTTTGTTTGTTTGTCTGTTTTTTTGAGACGGAGTTTCACTCTTGTTACCCAGGCTGGAGTGCAATGACACAATCTCGGCTCACCGAAACCTCTGCCTCCTGGGTTCAAGCAATTCTCCTGCCTTGGACTCCCAAGTAGCTGGGACTACAGGCGCGCGCCACCATGCCCAGCTAATTTTTGTATTTTTAGTAGAGACAGGGTTTCACCATGTTGACCAGGATGGTCTCGATCTCTTGATCTTGTGATCCACCTGCCTCGGCCTCCCAAAGTGCTGGGATTACAGGGGTGAGCCACTGCGCCCGGCCGCTTTTTTTTTTTTTTTATCAAGAAACTTTTACAATGAAAAAATGTTAGCTGAACTAAACAGTGTCTAGTTACGTAGTAAAAAATAGTTATGCAAAGGATAATGCATGAAATTTGAGATGACTCTCTTTATTATAATATGTGTTGATATGGAAGCTGATCATAATCAACTGTTATATGTGAGATATGAAGCTTACTGCAGAGAAGAGTTGTATTAGGAATGTTTGACTGTGAAACAAACTTTTAGTGTTTCTAGAAAGTCAAACAAACAAACATACAACTTTATAAGGTTCCAACCTTTTAAAATGTGGTTTGGACAATAGGCATGTTTCTTTGTGTGATATTTTTGGCATTTTAAATGCCTTTACTACTTCTAAGTAGGGGAAAATACAATATAATTTTCTTTTTTTTTTTTTTTTGAGACGGAGTTTCGCTCTTGTTTACCCAGGCTGGAGTGCAATGGCGCGATCTCGGCTCACAGCAACCTCCGCCTCCCAGGTTCAGGCAATTCTCCTGCCTCAGCCTCCTGAGTCGCTGGGATTACAGGCACGCGCCACCATGCCCAGCTAATTTTTTGTATTTTTAGTAGAGACGGGGTTTCACCATGTTGACCAGGATGGTCTCGATCTCTTGACCTCGTGATCCACCCGCCTCGGCCTCCCAAAGTGCTGGGATTACAGGCTTGAGCCACCGCGCCCGGCCCGCAATATAATTTTCAAAGGCAAAGAAGATTGAAGGGCAAAAATGACAGAAGCCTGAAAGAACAGAATATCTAGAGACGATTATAACATGTTCCATAGTTTAGCAACAATTATCAGTGATGTTGGTGATAATCTTAATATTGAATATCTGTAAAATGTTATGGCCAAACAAGTTATGGAGTTACGGAACATTTACATTTTATTTCCATCAAAAGACGATTCATGCATGGGAAATTCATAGATCCATAATCTGTTGCTTTCATTGAAAGACAGTTTAACGCTACAGGATAAATTGTTGGAACTGGCAATTGAATAAATGATGAATTTTGAAAATACAGAATCACTTGCTTCATTTTGAATAAAAGCAAAAGATGGAAATCCTGAGCTTCCTAAAATTGTCTGAAAATCTCTTTTTGCATTCCCATCAACAAAGCTCTGTGAGACTCGTTCTCCACTAAGCTCTTATTAAAAGAAAACATGGAAGCCAGGGGTTGTGGCATGTACTCGTGGTCCTTCCTAGCTACTGGTGGGGGATGGGGAGCAGTGGTCAGGGGCAGCACTGAGGCGGGAGGATCGCTTGAGCCCAGGAGGCTTCAGTGAGGCATGATCTTCCCAGTGCACTCGAGCCTCGGTGACACAGTGAGATCCCATTTCTAAAATAAATAAATAAATAAAATAACGTTCTTTTATTAAATTACAACAGCAACAAAAATAGAAGCAATCTCAACACACATTCTACTTTGCAAGTCGCATTGTAGTCCATTCTGGCTGGGTTAGATAGGTTGGCAAACAATAACATGCGTATTTGTCTGTTAAGAACGCTCAATAGGCCGGGCGCGGTGGCTCACACCTGTAATCTCAGCACTTTGGGAGGTCGAGGCGGGTGGATCACTTAAGGTCAGGAGTTTCAGATAAGCCTGGCCAACATGGTAAAACCCTGTCTCCACTAGAAATGCAAAAATTAGCTGGGTGCGGTGCTGTGCACCTGTAGTCCCAATTACTAGGGAGACTGAGGCAGGAGAATCGCTTGAACCCAGCAGGCAGAGGTTGCAGTGAGCCGAGATCGCATCATTGCACTCCAGCCTGGGCAACAGAGTGAGATTCTGTCTCAAAAAAAAAAAAAAAAAAAAAAAAGCAGACCTGTGGCTCACACCTGCAATCCCAACACTTTGGGAGGCCGAGAGGCAGGTAGATCATGAGGTCAGGAGTTCAAGACCAGCCTGGCCAAGGTGGTGAAACCCCATCTCTACTAAAACTACAAAAATTAGCCTGGTGCGGTAGCAGGTGCCTGTAATTCCAGCTACTTGGGAGGCTGAGGCTTGAACCCCGGCAGCAAAGGATACAGTGAGCCGAGATGGCACCATTGCACTCCAGCCTAGGCAACAGAGGGAGACTCCGTCTAAAAAATATATAAATAAATAAAGATTGCTGGCCAGGCATGGTGGCTCACGCTTGTAATCCCAGCACTTGGGAGGCCGAGGCGGGTGGATCACAAGGTCAGGAGTTCAAGACTTGCTCAATATTGATATTCACAGTGTTCATTCAAAGTGGAGAAACACTATTTTACTCATAATTTTTCATTTAGTTATAATTGCAGAACAACAAAAATTATGAATGCAAAACAGCGATTTATATGTTAATCACATAATACACATATTCAATGAACATGTACAGAGTTTGGAATTATTTTATTTTTCCCTATGTTATGTTTATTCTGATTATATTTATTGAAATGTAATTTTGTCTGTTGGATCTGATAACAACATTTAATTTTAATTTTGTATATCTTTGTTTTTTAATGTAATATGCCCAGTATTAATAATTCATTTTTTTTTGTACAATGGATTGGTTTGCAGATTAAACATTTTTTAAAAACTGATCCTTTGCCAGTCAATTTGAGAAGCATTGTTCTACACGTCAACTTTATCTGTAAAGTGAGGATGAACTGCCAAATTTGGAACAATCACAATTTTGAATTATATAAAGTCCAGTGAGTTATCAGAAAAAAAGGGAGCCACTTTCAACATCAGAGGAAAGGCGAATGGATTGTTCTGAGTGTGACATCTGCATCTTTTCCACTAGAGGGCAGTCAAGAAGTTCTTATAATTGTGGAATCCATCACAAAGCCAAAATTGCTCTTAAACCAAGGGATTGAAGCACACAGGAAAAAATAAAACGCAGAGTAAGATCAATTACCCAGTGAATATTTGTTGGTCACCAATACCGTCCTGTAACACACTAAGACTCAATACAGAGGTTAAAACCCACAAATCTTAGCTCATCACTCTGCCCAAGTTTTTCAACCCCTGAAAAGCTTAGGGAGCCCCTTTCCATAATCAGATCATTCATTCATTCACTCAACATTAATTGACCCCCTCATACCCCATTCCAGGTATCCTGTGAGGCACTGGGGTACAGTTGTGATAAGACAGACAATCTCTTCTCTCAAGGTGTTTACAGAGCATTCCCCTTTCTAGTTAAGGCCTTGATGGGTCCTAGGAACTGTTTTTATTTCAGGTCAGCGTCTTCTTCAATCAGTGACAAGTAGGCCATTTGGAGCTGCTGTCTCTAAAGTGTTCTCTTGAAACTGTAGGAAGACAAGGCAACAAGAGGGAGAATAACCACAGAACCACAAAGGGATCCAGGGTTGCCTTGACAACAAGATCAGAGGAAATGGCCAAGCCCTTGAGGTGCCGGGGCTGGACTCTGAGCCTGGGCCGACGATCCATTCAATGCCACCTTTTGACTTTGACAGAACTTCACTGAAGTGAGTCTTTGAAATCCAAAGGAAGAGGGGCCCACACACTGAGGAACTCATCCCACGTCCATCCCAGCCTTGTTCTGATTCTGGAGGAACACAGGATGTCCTCACTCCAAAGGCTGCCAGAGACTGCTGGAGGCTGCACAGGAAAATAGGCAAGAGTTTGGCTTATGACTCTAACAAGCCTCAGTTAAACTTGGTTGGGTCTCAGAGTAGCTGTGTAACAACATATGCCTGTCTAAGCCTCAGTTTCTCTATTTGTAAACTAGAAATAATAATAATAGTATAGCATCTCAGGGGTTGTTATGAGGATGAAATTACATAATAAATGTGAAGTTCTGGCCGGGAGTGGCAGCTCACGCCTGTAATCCCAGCATTTTGGGAGGTCGAGGCAGGTGGATCGCCTGAGGTCAGGAGTTTGAGACCAGCCTGGCCAACATGGTGAAATCCTTCACCATGTGAAGATCTCTTCATCTTTTCAAATGAGAGAACTGAGGCTCAGCAGCTTAATAATAGTGGAAAGTTGATGAATTGCAGAGTTAGATCTAGTTTTGCCTGTCCTGATAGACTTTGGGAAACTCATTTGTCTCTCTCTGAACCTCCGTTTTCTCATCTGTAAAATGGAATAAGCAGGTTGTTCTGGGGACTGAGTTATGTTAAGCACCTGGCACCAGGACCTGGCATATCGTGTTGTCCAGCAAAATGTTCATTTGTCAGCCAGGAGTGGTGGCTCACGCCTGTAATCCCAGCACTTTGGGAGGCTGAGGCTGGCGGATCATGAGGTCAGGGGTTCGAGACCAGCCTGACCAACATGGTGAAATCCTGTCTCTACTTAAAAATACAAAAATTGCCGGGCGCGGCGGCTCAAGCCTGTAATCCCAGCACTTTGGGAGGCCGAGGCGGGTGGATCACGAGGTCAAGAGATCCAGACCATCCTGGTCAACATGGTGAAACCCCGTCTCTACTAAAAATACAAAAAATTAGCCGGGCATGGTGGCACGTGCCTGTAATCCCAGCTACTCAGGAGGCTGAGGCAGGAGAATTGCCTGAACCCAGGAGGCGGAGGTTGCAGTGAGCCGAGATTGCGCCATTGCACTCCAGCCTGGGTAACAAGAGCGAAACTCCGTCTCAAAAAAAAAAAAAAAAAAAAAAAAAAATACAAAAATTAGCCGGGTGTAGGGCTGTGCACCTGTAGTCCCTGCTACTTGGGAGGCTGAGGCAGGAGAATTGCTTGAACCGGGGAGGCAGAGGTTGTGGTGAGCCAAGAGCGTGCCATTGCACTTCAGCCTGGGCGAATCAATCTTAAAAAAAAAAAAATGGGGGAATGGGGAGCTGGGGAGAGATAGCATAGGGAGAAATGCCAGATATAGGTGATGGGTAGGAAGGCAGCAAATCACACTGCCATGTGTGTACCTATGCAACACTCTTGCATGTTCTTCACATGTACCCTAAAACGTAATATGCAATAAAAAAATTTTTTTTTAAGTTCATTTATCTTATTCCTCTCTGTGGTTGTCCAGAGTCAAACTCGATTCTTACTTAAAAACTGCAGCCCTCAGAGAGTTCATGCTCACCTCCACGATGCAAGCTTGGAAGTCAAGCAAATCTCAACTCACATCCGGTTCCTGACCGTGGGCACGTTACTTAGTGTTTTTCTTTCTGTTGCAGTTTACTAGTCTGCAACATGACGATCATAATAGTACCTCCTTCCCAATGCTGGCAGGAGGAGCATGCTTTCTTTTGAAGTGTCCCAGAAATGTTTATTATCATGTCCTGCAATCATGGCCCTGATCAAGAGGCTCTGAAATAGATAAGTAGCATGCTTATATTCATTCATTCGCACATTCATCCTTTTTCTGTTTGTGTGCTAGGTCGTTATCAGAGCTGGGATTCACAGAGTTAGACAAGGTTCCTGCTCTTGAGTTGCTCACAGTCTAGGAGAAGAGACTTAAGCAATGGCCTCATGACTGTGGTCACGGGCTTTGATGAGATGCTGGGTGGCCAGTGGTTAAGAGTACAGATGCTGGAGCCAGACAGCTGAAGTTTAACCTCAGTCCTGCCACTCTGGGTTCTTGTGCAAAATATCTTACTTCTCTGTGCCTGTATAAAATAAGGGTAGCAATAGTGCTTGGTTCATAGGGCTGTTATGGAAGGTTCAACGGTTCCAGATGGGCAAAAGGCTTAGAACAGGGCCTGGCACATAGTAAGCCTGCTATGCCAGCTCTTTCAGTTAGTAAAAGCTTACATACAAATGACATTGGTAGCATTCAGATGAGAGAGTATAGTTCTAGAAGAGGAAATAAAGAAACCCATAAGAGATTGAGTACAGTTTCTGTATCTATACAGTTCCCCTGGATTTCACTGAAAATATTTCCACCAGCCAAACCTGGAAGGGATCGTGAAGAGTTTTTTGCTGGAGACTCACAGTTTGCAGATAAGGAAACTCAGGCCAGAGACTGGCTTGCCCAGATGAGGTGGGCAGAATAATAATCCCCCAAATGTCCACATCCTAATTCCTAGAACCTATGAATATGAAACCTTTCATGGCAAAACTGATTAAGTTCAGGATTTTCAGATGGGGAGATTATCCTGGATCATCTGGGGTGGTCCAGTGTAATTGCAAGGGTCCTGATAAGGGAAAGAAGATGGGGAGTTGGTAAAGTGGAGGTGCAGTGACACAGGCCAGTGAGCCAAGGAACATGTGTGACCAACGCCTTCGCTTGTCCCACATCCCCTTCCCTCAGGGTGCCCTTTCTTTGATCTGAGCTCTCATTTCCTGTTATTTGTCCCAAGGACCAAATTTCCTACTTTTAGCTTTGATAAAATCGTTCCTCCCCAATCTACCCTTGAAGACAGTGTCGGAGACCCTTACCCTCAGAAACAAAGCGTAAATAGAAAATGAGTGATATTAGCTATCTGCAGAAACAACTCACCTTCAACAAGATTTGTGAATGAGGCTAATGACATTTGAGAAATGTAGCCAGTAGTAGACAAGCGGGAATCGAATTACTGATCATGGGTCCTCTCTGAGACAACACTTGGTGCCTGGGCTGGGAAATTAGCAGGAGACCATTTTCTCCAGAGCTTATGTCTCCAGAATTAGACTGGGTGGAACAGGCCTTAGGAGGCCCAGACACCAAATCTATGTATTTGGGCAGAAATATCTCTAGAAGAAAAAGTGATTGCTAAGGTACGGCTGCTGAATAGAAAACAAAAACAAAAACAAAACCCAGGGTTGGCTTGCAATCAAGATAATTAACTGGGTAGGTGGGAACAGAAACTGGCTGAAATTTTTGAAAGGCTGTGTGTCAGTATGAACCAACCAGTCTCCTTCAGAAAACTTAACGCTGGGGGGTAATGGAAGTTGCTCAACTAAGGGCTGGGGGTGGTGGCTCACGCCTGTAATCCCAGCCCTTTGGGAGGCCGAGGCAGGTGGATCACCTGTGGTCTGGAGTTTGACACCAAGATGGCCAAGGTGGTAAAACCCCGTCTCTACTAAAAATACAAAAATCAGCCCGGCATGGTGGTGTGTGCCTGTAGTCTTAGCTACTCAGGAGGCTGAGGCAGGAGAATCGCTTGAACCTGGGAGGCGGAGGATTGCAGTGGGCTGAGATCGTGCCATTGCATTCCAGCCTGGGCTTCAGAGCAAGACTCTGTCTCAAAAAAAATAAAAGTTGCTCAGCTGCTAAGATGTTCACTTTTGCATTGTTTATAACGGAGACACTGCTCAAAAATACGAAGTTGGATAGATAAACAATGACGACCAGGTGCCGGATTGTGAAGAGTTTACCAGGCCGAGGCAGGTGGATTCCCTTGAGCCCAGGAGTTCAAGACCAACCTGGGCAACATGGAGCGATCCTGCCTCTATAAAAAATTTTTTAAAAATTCGTTGAGTGTGGTGATGCACGCCTGTAGTCTCAGCTACCCGAGAGGCCGAGATGGAAGCATCACCGCGCCCTGGAGGTTGAGGCTGCAGTGAGCTATGATCATGCCACTGCACTCCAACCTGGGTGACAGAGTGAGACCCTGTCTGAAAAAATAAATAATAAGACTGGATGTCCCAGCTACTCAGGAGGCTGAGGCAGGAGAATTGCCTGAACCCAGGAGGCGGAGGTTGCGGTGAGCCGAGATCGCGCCATTGCACTCTAGCCTGGGTAACAAGAGCGAAACTCCGTCTCAAAAAAAAAAAAAAAAAAAAAAATAAGACTGGATGTGGTGTCTCATGCCAGCAGTTTGGGAGGGTGAAGCGAGCAGATCGCTTGAGGTCAGGAGTTCAAGACCAGTCTGGCCAACTTGGTGAAACCCCATCTCTACTAAAAATACAAAAGTTAGCCGGGTATGGTGGCACATGCCTATAATCCCAGCTACTCAGGAGGCTGAGGCAGGAAAAACACTTGAACCTGGGAGTTGGAGCCTGCAATGAGTCAAGACTATGCCAATGAATTGCAGCCTGGGTGACAGTATGAGACTCTGTATCTATATATATGATATGGCCATATCATGGGCCACTATGTTAGACTTTTTCTTTTTAATGATGCCATAGAGGATGTGAAGATGTGAGATGATAACGTAGGGTCGTAAAAGAATGGGTTTTAAGACACCATGGGAGTAAGATCCTGTTTTTGTTTTTAAGAAGAATAACACATAAAAAGGCCTGGAGGGACAAATACTAAAAATGCTACTCACAGTTTTCTCTGGCTGATGGAACTGTGGGAGATTTTAGTTTTTTCCTTTTAGCTTATCAAACATTTTCCATATTCAGTAATTAACATGATGTATCACCTTGCAGTTGAAAGTTATCTATAAAAATAGTTAAAAGGAAGTGAGCACTTGGTGATATCTAGTTTGTGCCTGGACTTTTCCATACATCATCGCACTTACTCTTTAAAACAGCTGTGTAAGTTAGGTGTTACTGTGCTCATTTTGTTTGTGGAGAAACTGACACAGACTTTAAGGTAACCTGCCCAAATTCACATAGTTAATAAGTGCTGGAGCCACGATTTCCAGCCAATTTCATCTGGCCACCCTCTTTTTACTATACCACTTGCCTCCCTCTAAATAATTCCCAGGTCCCTTTGTGGTCTTTCTACATTCTGAGCAACCTTTAGCTTATACAGCGGTCTCAGCTTGCCTCATCCAACAGGAGAGAACAATAGCGCAGCAGCAGTAATCGTGTTGCTGCTGGACTCAAGGAATTTACTTATAAACGAACACATTAGTTTCCTGTTTCATTATTCCCATTCTTGTTGATTACTTAGAATAACTTGGTCCCTCAGGACCTGATTAGGGCTGCAGGAACTGGTGGATTAACATAAGCCAGACCCCAGGCCATGCTGGTGGGCTCCAGCTAGCCTGGCTGGTTTCCTGCCCAGCCTCCTTCACTCTGGCTCCCAGTGAAGGGAGTGGGTCATTTGAAATAAGCTCTGCCTTTGGTAAATAACAGAAGCTGGATGATGCCCCAGCACGTGTTAACCCGGGGCACTGGGATGAATGTTCAGTTTCCATTGCTCAAGTTGACCAAGGAGAGGGTCAACTCTGATGGGACTCGGTACACACACCACTTAGCGCGGTGCTGGGCATGGAGAAGACATTCAGTCAGTGTGGGCTGAATTAATTGGGGATCATAGGAAATCAGCCAGGTAACTCTCCCTGCCCCTGCCTGTGGAAAAACCTAGAAGAAATTGCTTCTGTTGAGCCCACAGTTACCCTATGTTTGCTTTTGCAACCTTGGCAGAATATATATATATATGTGTGTGTGTGTGTGTGTGCATGTATAATGTATTATATAAACATATGTAATACACATGTATTTGTATAAAATATATATTTATCATGTATGTAAACATGTATGTGTACATGTGTAATATACATGTGTATTACAGGCATATATGTCATATAAATGATACGTATTATATACATACATAATACATGTGTGTTTTATATATAACATGTATTTATGTGGCTATATAAATATATATGATACAGTTTGGATCTGTGTCCCCACCACAATCTCATGTTGCACTGTAACCCCCAATGCTGGAGGTGAGGCCTGCTGGGGGGTGATTCCATGGGGATGTTTTCTCATGTTTGACACCCTGGAGCTGTCATCGTGATAGTGAGTTCTCATGGGATCTGTTTGTTTAAGAGTGCACAGCAATCTCCCCCGCTCTCTTGGTCCTGTTCCTGCCATGTAAGATGCCTGCTTCCACTTTGCCTTCTGCCATGAGTAAAAGCTCCCTGAGGCCTCCCCAGAAGCAGATGCAGCCATGCTTCATGCAGCCTGTGGAACTGGAACTGTGAGCCAATTAAACCTTTTTTCTTTATAAATTACCCAGTCTCTTCAAACTATACTACAAGGCTACAGTAATCAAAACAGCATGGTACTGCTACCAAAACAGAGACATAGACCAAAGGAACAGAACAGAGGCCCCAGAAGCAACACCACACATCTACAACCATCTCATCTTTGACAAACCTAACAAAAACAAGCAATGGGGAAAGGACTCTATGTTTAATAAATGGTGTTGTGAAAACTGGCTAGCCATGTGCAGAAAGCAGAAACTGGACCCCTTCCTGTCACCTTACACTAAAATTAACTCCAGATTGATTAAAGATTTAAACATAAAACCTAACACCATAAAAATGCTAGAAGAAAATGTAGGCAAAACCATCCAGGACATAGGCATAGGCAAGGACTTCATGACTAAAACACCAAAAACATTGGCAACAAAAGCCAAGATAGACAAATGGGATCTAATTAAAATTCAGAGCTTCTGTACAGCAAAAGAAACCATCATTAGAGCAAACTGGCAACCAACAGACTGGGAAAAAATTTTTGCAATCTACCCAACTGACAAATGGCTAATATCCAGAATCTACAAAGAACTAAAACAGATATACAAGAAAAAAACAACCCCATTCAAAAGTGGACAAAGGATATGAACAGACACTTTACAAAAGAAGACATATATGAGGCCAAAAAACATATGAAAAAATGCTCTTCATCACTGGTCATTAGAGAAATGCAAATCAAAACCACATTGAGATACCATCTCATGCCAGTTAGAATGGCGATCATTAAAAAATCTGGACACTGGGCCGGGCGCGGTGGCTCACGCCTGTAATCCCAGTATTTTGGGAGGCCGAGGCGGGTGGATCACGAGGTCAAGAGATCGAGACCATCCTGGTCAACATGGTGAAACCCCATCTCTACTACAAATACAAAAAATCAGCTGGGCATGGTGGCACATGCCTGTAATCTCAGCTACTCAGGAGGCTGAGGCAGGAGAATTGCCTGAACCCAGGACGCGGAGGTTGCAGTGAGCCGAGATCGCGCCAAGCTGAGATCGCACCATTGCACTCCAGTCTGGGTAACAAGAGTGAAAACTCCGTCTCAAAAAGAGTAAAAAAAAAAAAAAATCTGGACACAACAGATGCTGGAGAGGATGTGGAGAAATAGGAACACTTTTACACTGTTGGTGGGAGTGTAAATTAGTTCAACTATTGTGGAAGACAGTGTGGCGATTTCTCAAGGATCTAGAAATAGAAATTCCATTTGACCCAGCAATCCCATTACTGGGTATATACCCAAAGAACTATAAATCATTCTACTATAAAGACACATGCACATGTATGTTCATTGCAGCCCTGTGTACAATAGCAAAGACCTGGAACCAACACAAATGCCCATTGATGATAGACTGGACAAAGAAAATGTGGCACATATACACCATTGAATACTATGCAGCCACAAAAAACGATGAGTTTGTGTCCTTTGTAGGGACTTGGATGAATCTGGAAGCCATCATTCTCAGCAAACTGACACAAGAACAGAATGCCAAATACCGCATGTTCTCACTCATAGGCGGGTGTTGAACAATGAGAACACGTGGACTCAGGGACAGGAGCATCACACACTGTGGATAGTTGTGGGGGGTAGGGGAGGGACAACGGGGAGTGGGGAGGGTGGGGAGGGGTAACATGGGGAGAAATGCTGGATATAGTATACACCTAAAGTAAAATAAAAAATAAAATAAAATAAAAATAAATTACCCAGTCTCAGGGATTTTTCTTTTTCTTTTCTTTTCCTTGATTTTTATTTTTTTGAGATGAAGTTTTGCTCTTGTCACCCAGACTGGAATGCAGTGGCACAATCTCAGTTCACCGCAACCTCCAACTCTTGGGTTCAGGTGATTCTCCTACCTCAGCCTCCTGAGTATCTGGGATTACAGGTGTACACCACCGTGCCTGATTAATTTTTTTTGTATTTTTAGTAGAGACGGGGTTTCACCATGTTCGAGGCCAGGCTGGTCTCGAACTCCTGACCTCAGGTGATCCCCCTGCGTTGGCCTCCCAAAGTGCTGGGATTACAGGTGAAAGCCACCGCCCCCAGCCCAGGGATTCCGTTACAGCAGTGTGAGAATGAACTAATACTATATCTATCTATAGATCAATATAGATATATCTACCCACATATGTCTATAGATATAGATTAACCTGTCTGTATCTATCTATATCTCCTCTGTACTTTGGGTTGGATTCCTGGCTCCAGCATTTAACATTGAGTGATTTAAGGAGGTGGCTTAAACTCCTCAGGCCTCATTTTCCTAATCCATAAAGCAGGAAGAGGTACCATGTCCTGCTTTCTGTGTTGTTGTAAGGACATATCAAATACAGCTCCTATTTATTATCAATCAAAGCATGCTGCCAGGAGCTGACTTTTCTTTCCCCTTAAGTGAAAAGTTCCCCAAGTGAAATGAGCAAGCTGTTAGTATTTCCTGAACATCTGCACTATGTCCTGTTATCCAAAATGACTAAAGGGAAGGAGATGGAAATGGACAACTATTGAGTGCCTGTTTGGGGTCAGCACTCTGCTCTTTTCCATATTCACTCATTCATTCATTCATTCATTCATTCATCAAATACGTGACTTGGTGAATGTCTGCTGTGGGCTAGGCTTTGTACTGGATGCTGGAGGTAAACAAGGATGCTGTGTAAGGGGCTTCTTATTTAATTCTCACATGATCCTTAAACATAAGATTTTTTTAAAGTTTTTAAATCATCATATAGGAATATTTGACTTTTTTTCTTCTGATGTACAGTTCTATGCATTTTAACACATGTATAGATTCACATAAACCGCATCTCAATCAGGATTCAGGACAAAGTGTGGGAATTTTAATTTCCAATTGACTCTTGAGGAAATTGAGGTCCAGAGGGTTTGAGAGATGCCCCAAAGTCAACCTGTCCTGTGTTAACACAGATGGCAGAAGGGAATGCGGGTTTAGCTGTGGAGTCATGAGAGGACCTCAGGAAAACTCTGTGGCCCCTCACTGGTCCTTGATGTGGAATTCCTCTCTTCCACAGATTGCAAACTTCTTGGCATTGCTGAAGTCTACTTTGTAGACTTTGAGAAAGGCTTCTGGGAATTTAGAACTTAGCTGGGTCCAACAGTTAACTCTCTCCACTTAACTGCCCAGTCTCAAGGTATATGGCTTGTCTGGAATAATTTTTTAATTTTTAATTTTTGAGACAGGGTCTTGCTCTGTTGCTCAGATTTGAGTGCAGTGATCGAATCATGGATCACCACCTAGACCTCCACCTCAGTCTGCCAAGTAGCTGAGACCACAAGGGGTAGGCCTCAAAGCCTGGTTAATTTTTTTTTTTTTTTTTTTTTTTTTTTTTTTTTTTTTAGGGACGGAGTTTCACTCTTGTTACCCAGGCTGGAGTGCAATGGCGCGATCTCGGCTCACTGCAACCTCCGCCTCCCGGGTTCAGGCAATTCTCCTGCCTCAGCCTCCTGAGTCGCTGGGATTACAGGCACGCGCCACCATGCCCAGCTAATTTTTTTGTATTTTTAGTAGAGACGGGGTTTCACCATGTTGACCAGGATGGTCTCGATCTCTTGACCTCGTGATCCACCTGCCTCGGCCTCCCAAAGTGCTGGGATTACAGGTTTGAGCCACCGCGCCCGGCCAAGCCTGGTTAATTTTTAAATTATTTGTAGGGATGGGGTTTCTCTGTCACCCAGGCTGGTCTCAAACTCCTGACTGGCCTCCCAAAATGCTGGGATTACAGGTATGAGGCACCGTGCCCAGCCTGGAAGAGCTGATTTTAACTAAGCAGTATTTGACTCACTTTCTTAAAAAACATTTTTTTAAAAAAAGATGGGCTGGGCACGGTGGCTCACGCCTGTAATCCCAGCACTTTGGGAGGCCAAGTCAGGGGGGATCACAAGGTCAGGAGTTCAAGACCAGCCTGGCTAAGATGGTGAAACCCCGTATCTACTAAAAATACAAAAATGAGCTGGGAATGGTGGCAGGCGCCTATAATCCCAGCTGCTCCAGAGGCTGAGGCAGAGAATTGCTTGAACCTGGGAGGCGGAGTTTGCAGTGAACCGAGATTGCACCATTGCACTCCAGCCTGGGTGACAGAGACTCCATCTCAAAAAAAAAAAAAAAAAAAAAAAGAAAAGAAAAGAAATGAAATGAAAAGGTGAGGTGAATACAATATAATCTTTTGCCAACAGCTCTTGGTCCCTTTTGTGGCTGTCAATTGTTGTACCCAAATGAAACAGTCATTTCTCTGACTTCTGTCTTGAGGGACAATGTTCTTGCCTGCCCTTATCACCAGCCTACTTTTTTTTTTTTTTTTTTTTTTTTTTATGAGGGGTTTTTCTCTCATGTTATCCAGGCTGGAGTGCAATGGCGCGATCTCGGCTCACCGCAACCTCCGCCTCCTGGGTTCAG